ATGGGCATCACATCGTAGACACCGAGAGCTTTACTTACTTAGGGAGTATTCTATCGTTAGATGGGGGTGCGAAAAAGGACATCAATAGCCGCATTCAAAAAGCGCGAGTATTATTTGCTAGGTTGCGCAACATATGACGGGCAAATTGTTTAACGAGTTAAGAGCAATAGCACAAAATAGAAACCAGTGGAAAACTTTTGCAGACTCCTTAAGCTCCTAATGAAGCACAATCGAATCCGAAATCAAGAAACAACTAAACTTTACCAAGTGAAGCTATTTCGAAGAAATATGTAGAAAGATTAAGACCACAGTTTTCTGGAATACAGACGTTATAATTACTATGCCTTACTTTCCGCCGAAGCAAAGAATATAAACGGATTACTATTGAGATTAATTGAAACAATGCATTAATTTTTTAAAATAAAAAAGTCTTAAAGAATAGAGCTTTCTAATCCATACATTGGATTGGATTAGGTTACAAAGAGCTTTCCAAACAAAAAATTTTGACAGATTTAATCTCATGCAACTATTCACTATTATTAAACCTTGTCATAGTTCTGAGGAGAGGGATGTCATACCTTATAGTAACAAGTCAACCTATAGAGGCTTATTTTGATAAATTTAACAAGTCATATAATACAAGCGACTTCAAAAAGCTCAAGAGTCATTAAATTAAATATTTGGAACTGAAAGGAGACTATGTATTGAGTGTATTGAGAAATGAGAATCAGTCAATCTACAAATATGCTATTTATTATGTTTCTCTAATAACATGTAACCTTACACTCATCTATGCATACTTTGAAAAATTTATAGTCTCAGTAGTTGGAAGGTATATGATTTTTAAATAATCAGATTTTTATGTTATAATAATATATCATACAAATTTTCATACCATTTATAATCTAACACAGAATAATTTTAGGAAATCAAAAAAAAACAGTTACTTAGAATTCCCTATGTTACATGTCACACTTTAATATAATATGAACTTAAAGTTCCTAAACACATAAGTGTTTTCTAAAATTTTCTATTACCGCTTCGCACCCACCCAAAAACCAGGAATTATGTTAATGGCATTTGCCATGCCACCAAACAGACTCTTTAAATATCAATAAATGGTTTTGTCAGTTAGTCTTGCCATACTTTTCATTCTTTTTGACTTATGGGCACGAACAGAGGTGTCTGCTAGGTTTTGATGAATACTCATCTAAATTTTTATGAATGCCGATTATTAATTTTCTCATATTGCAACGAAATAGTTTCTTTGAAAGATAAATATTTTCAACTTTCAAAACGTTTTATAAACTTTAAAAAAAACTGCTTTAAATAATTGAAAATAAATTATTAAATACGTGGCATCACTAAATGTTTAAAATGCTTTTAAAATTTATATTAAAAATGCTTTGCTATGCTAAAGGCAGAACGGAAGTGCGGACGGACGGCTGAACGGACGGATGTTACGGCATTACGCTCAGAACAGAAGAAAATGACACTAAAAAGCTTTCAATTTAATCGCACAAATTCTGGAAAATTATAAAATAAGTTGACTGTCAAGACACAGACGGAATGCCTGAATGCCTACAGAGCAGGAAAGCCTTAACGTACCTACAGCAGACAGGTATGGCTTGGCGTACCTAAGTAGGAGCTGAACGATACGAGTAGCTTGGAGCAACGTTTTCATCTACTTTTCCTGATAAAAATTAAAATTATTTCAATTGACAATTTTTTTTTGGTCGTATCAAAAGAAGTTATATTCCTACGTTTTGCGGCAGTGAGAATTTAATTTTTTTTTTATTATTGGAAAACAAAGTTAAAGAAAATTACACATTTTGGCTTTTTGAGGCATATAAATTGTGTTGCCAAAGAAAATACTTAATATCTAAATTTATTAGAAAAGCCTCAAGGTACGCAAATTTGGGTCTACTGTATTTACATTGATTTATCTGTGCAAAGATTTAGAAATTTAATTAGAGGAGACCTACGACAAAGTAGGGTATATATGGGATGTTTACTTTTGTATCAATTTGCAGGTAAGGGTGCTCTGTCTTACTTATCTTTCCAAATTACAGCAAATCGCACTTTTGTTATAATAAAGGTTTCTATTTTGATAAATTTTTAAATTGAATTTGTTTCAATATTAATATAAGGTTGTTTAAGTGTTTTTGCTCGACATAATTTCTAATCACGCGAGATTTTATAATAAAGAAGTCCCAGTACGAATTACTTCATATAAAGGTATTAAAATTTTAACAGAAATCTAGACAGTAGTCATCCTAAGCTATCTGATTTATTTGTTCATTATTTGAAATGAAGAAAAAAGCTTTAAAACAAACGACCATTTACTCATACTTATATAAATAAGAAATCAGATTCATCAGATTTGCTGTTTTTTTAAATTATTCTTAAATACGATTTTACTTTTTTTTTTTGCTCTCTTTTTGATGCTATTAACTAGCATCTTTGCTCTTCTTTATTGTTATTTTAACAAAATGTTTGCTTCTTATTTTGATCAATTTAGGTGCTGTTAAGTAGCAACTTTTTTGATGTTTGGTACTATTTTTGTAAGATTTATTTTTGTGTTCATGTTTTTAGTTGTTTGTTTCAATTTTGTTGCTGTTGACTAGCGTTTTTCTTAATACTTCATGCTATCTTCGTAAAATAGTTCCAGTGTTCATCTGCACTATATGTTTTATGCATTATACTATGTTCAGCCACAGCTTAATTTCGCAAAAATATTAATTTTATCTTCGTTTCAGCGAAATTAAGTTGTTTTTATCCATAAAAAATTCAGTTTTAAGGTTAGAACGAAATTAAAGAAAATGTCCTTAATTTCATTGAAACGTTGGCTGAAATTAAGGGTCATTTCAAATGCAACTATCTGTAAGATAAAGTTGAGATAACGAAAAGTCACATTTTTTTTAAATAAATGTCAGTGTCAGTTGAGTTTAATAAAACCGGAGAAATATTTTGAAATTAGTGCAAATTTTTAAATTTGAATATAGAGGAAAAAATATTTTTAATTTAAAATAGAGTAAAAAATAATAATTCCATCAAATTTACTAAAGCTAATAAAACTTCTGAATGCGCTCCTTTATAACTATAAAGTAATAATCAACTTTTAAAATTTCCCAGCTACAAATAGTATTTGGAGCATGATTTCCTTAATTTGGAGCAGTATGAACACTTTCGAAATTAAGTTAATTTCATTTTTACGAAATTAAGGAAATTTGGCTGTCTGAACATAGTATTATGCATTATCGGGTTATTAACAAGTACTTTGGCATTTGTTCTATTATAGCATTGTATATAGATGTGTATAATATAATACCCAATTTCTCTGCTTTACGCCCATGCTGTCTGACTTAGATGAATCCAACCCGCTAGGTATTAAGTCTCTTGCTCTAATCTCTCTCTTGATTATTGGAATGGGGTTGTACCCGCTGCAAAAAAAAAGTTAACGTAAGAATTGAATGCTTGTATGTATAGAATGAAAAAATTCCCTTCAACTCATATGAAGCGCAATTCATATGTCGTGTTACATATTCAATATATGCCTTAATTACTTTTCTAAATGAATTTAATTAATTATAATTTTTTCGTAGCATTGCCACGTGGGCTTCGGTCTCTGAAGCCACACTTTCACAATATAAAATTTAAATTATTTTCATTATTTATATTCATTATTGATTCATTTCATTATGCTCTTAATTAATTTAAATTCAATAGGCATCTATATAATAAGAAAATCTTAATTAATGCGATTAAGTTGCTTTGATGATATTTATTTAAGAAAAGGTTCAAGGCATTTGTCTACTTAAGAAATAAATCCCACGAAATTATTCAACCCAAAATTTATGAACTCTTCATTAAAGCGTAAAATCAATGGATTCTGTTCATAATTACTTACAGTTTTCAGTTTAAAAATAAAATCAAAAACTTTGTTCAGCTTCGTTAATGTTAAAAACAGAAAGGAAGGCTACCAAGAGCAAAACTCAAGGACAAATGCAAAAGTATCCTTTTTCGAACTCTCGTTCATAATCGAAGTTGAGGGTGACAGTTTAAGTAATTAATCGCTTTAGTCGTCCTGCTTTAAGGTGCACAGAATGTTGAATATATTCCAAGCATTTCAGAAAATACTGATTAAAAATTTATAACAAAAAATCCTCACAACTTAAAGTTGGAAATTAATTAAAGCTGCTTATAGCTATTATCAATCCTTCAATCCTCTTACCAAAATATGGGTGAAGAGAAATATTTTACACATAAAACAATATTGACCACAACATAGTAGAGAATGGACTCATAAGCCTATTGACCATGATTGAGATTCCCACAAATTTTACAAATTTAGAAATTTCTCTTTTGTACATTCGTCCAGGATAACGTTTTAATGTAAGGATTTGTGTACATATTTGCTGAATAATTTTAAAGCAAAAATTTTTTATTATGAAGACAGAGTAGATAATTCATCATAATTATGAAAATATGGAATTTTGAAATTTTTGGTTTTGTAAAATAGAGAA